CAAGCACGAAACTTTCTTCTCGACAAACGATAACGTATGCCCGATTCATCTTCCTTCTTGCGTCATACAGGGTGGCCAACAAATACAAATTAGTTTTCAATTTTTATCGTTGCAACAGAATTCGCTTTTTGGTCCGGCAACGTATACAATTTGAATTTGGCGCGATTTTGTGCGTGCCGGTATTCGAAAGCGAATCTGATTATTATTTTGGTGGATTGCATTCAAGTTAATTTATTTGGGTTTCTTTAATTAGATTGTTTTTTTGTAATCGTTTTTAAATTATCGCGAAATATTTCTCCATCTGATTACTAGTAAGCTCGAAATTGAATTGTGTTGAGAGAAGATTTGAGCTATATGGTATATCAAAAATAAGAAGGATGAAATTTCCTCCTCTTTCCTGAAAATTTCTTCAAATTTTTCCTTGTTGAGATTTTGAGTCTGAATGATTAAACTCCATTGAAATGTTATTCCAATTGAAATCTGTGTTCCAACCGAATTCGAAAACTGAATATATTAAGATCATTATGCAAATAATGTTATATAATGGAAATTTTGACAATTATTTAAGCAAACAAACTTTTTACAGGATGTACCAATATTTACCCAAAATCAAAAATTTAAATCTAACATACTTTTACCAAAAATGATTTTCATGTTTTAAAGAAAAAACGTAATTCCCCGGAAAGGTCAATGAAATTTTTAATGCAAATAAAACGTGATATTAGGTAACCTGAAAAATTCCTCATACCAGTGATGGGTAACTCACTTTTATTTTCCAGAGATATTATGGGTGTGGGTTTACTGCGGAGATCAAAAAAACTTGCGTTTCAACAATGGTGAGCATTTTGCGAAAGATCACTAGTTATTTGCATAATGATTTAATTTGTGCAATTCGAAATCTCAAATTTGCCTATTAGCATATAACTTTGATCACCTGTACGCTATTGTTCTGTCGGTGATTTTATTAAGCATAATTAGGTAGGAATTGGTAATTTGTTTCAGAACGATTAGAAATCTTGAGAATAATGGGAATGTAAACTAACTAGAACAATAATTTTTTTTTTAATAATAGAAATACACAATATAATTACATTGGAGCTAAGTTATGATTTGACCGAGGATTTGACTAATTTGGTCAAAAATAATTATTAATGAAACTGTAATCTAGCGATATCATATCGCACCTCCGGAGAAACAATGTCATAAGTGCAAATTTTTCTAAAAGTGAGATTATGTTGTCAAAATATTCCAATACCTTCAGACCATCTTATAGCTACAAAGACAGATTTGTATTTTGAAATCCTATTAGATAGCGCATATGTCTTTGTGGAAATGGCGCGAATAATATCCGCTCCTAGAGCAAACAATGACCGATTTTTCACTTGTGCGCACAAAGGTAAATATGACAAATAAATTTGTAATTTATTCCAAAGCAACTACGACAAAAATGTATTTTGGATCGGTTTTCTTTACCAAACCTGCGATGCTAATGGACGGACAAAGACGCAAATGCATTTTATGTCATTAATTAATTAACTTATTTGAAAAAAATAGTTTAGCCATAGGCAACAATGACATAATTGAAGAGGTTCTGCCCTAAAAACTTTTGAACAGGGCAAAATTGTAAAATGAATTCAAAAAGCAAACTAAAGGTGAGCTATACATATTACAGAATCTTCATGAAAATTGAATTCGCCAGAAAATGTATAGTTTATTGTTTTCGTTTTGAGTTTCAGAAGCGCTAGAAACTTTAAAAGCGTTTCCTCGAGAATTTACAAATTTGCACTTATGACCTTGTTTCTCTAGGGGTGCGATGTCAATATAGAGTTGCTTGTATCATTTGGTACCTACATATACTTATAAATATCTAGGAATATCCCTTAGGTAATACAGTTGCCAATTGCAATTATTGAGTGTTATTAAAAAACCTGTTGAGTACCTACCTTCAAGAATATTGTCCGCAGTTTTTTTTTGTTTTAGTTCATTGATTTTCTTAAATCTTCATGTGCATGGTTTTGTTGGTACCTAGTCATAGTTTTGGGAATTCAAAGCCTTATTCTCTTTTATAACTCTATTTATATCAGTGCTTCGCTTTACTCAAGCTAAAATTTCAACTAGAAAAGCATAAAAATTCTATTCAGGAAGCTGATTTGACCCTCTCCAGATTGAGAAATTGTAAAATTCTCATTCCCAGCTCTATTAGAGCTAAAATTCAAACAAGAAAGGCATACAAATTCTATTCTCGGCGCTTCTAACGCCAAAAGTTGAGCTAAAAAAGTGTATATAACGTTGATCTTTGACCATTCAAGAGGTAAAGTTGCACTAGAGATGGTCAGGAAACTTCTTTGACCTTTTCAGATTGGGAAATTGTGAAAATCTCATTCCCAGCTGTACTAGAGCTAAAATTCAAACAAGAAAGGCATAAAAATTCTATTCTCGGCGCTTCTAACGCCAAAAATTGAGCTAAAAAAGTGTATATCACTTTGATCTTTGACCATTCAAGAGGTAAAGTTGGACTAGAGATGGTCAGGAAACTTGTTTGACCTTTTCAGATTGGGAAATTGTGAAAATCTCATTCCCAGCTCTACAAGAGCTAAAATTCAAACAAGAAAGGCATACAAATTCTATTCTCGGCGCTTCTAACGCCAAAAGTTGAGCTAAAAAAGTGTATATAACGTTGATCTTTGACCATTCAAGAGGTAAAGTTGCACTAGAGATGGTCAGGAAACTTCTTTGACCTTTTCAGATTGGGAAATTGTGAAAATCTCATTCCCAGCTGTACTAGAGCTAAAATTCAAACAAGAAAGGCATAAAAATTCTATTCTCGGCGCTTCTAACGCCAAAAATTGAGCTAAAAAAGTGTATATAACTTTGATCTTTGACCATTCAAGAGGTAAAGTTGGACTAGAGATGGTCAGGAAACTTGTTTGACCCTTTCAGATTGGGAAATTGTGAAAATCTCATTCCCAGCTCTACAAGAGCTAAAATTCAAACAAGAAAGGCATACAAATTCTATTATCGGCGCTTCTAACGCCAAAAATTGAGCTAAAAAAGTGTATATAACTTTGATCTTTGATCAATCAAGGGGTAAAGTTGGACTAGAAATGGTCAGGAAACTTGTTTGACCCTTTCAGATTGGGAAATTGTGAAAATCTCATTCCCAGCTCTACAAGAGCTAAAATTCAAACAAGAAAGGCATACAAATTCTATTCTCGGCGCTTCTAACGCCAAAAATTGAGCTAAAAAAGTGTATATCACTTTGATCTTTGACCATTCAAGAGGTAAAGTTGGACTAGAGATGGTCAGGAAACTTGTTTGACCCTTTCAGATTGGGAAATTGTGAAAATCTCATTCCCAGCTCTACTAGAGCTAAAATTCAAACAAGAAAGGCATACAAATTCTATTATCGGCGCTTCTAACGCCAAAAATTGATCTAAAAAAGTGTATATTACTTTGATTTCTGACCATCAAAGAGGTAAAGTTGATCCTCTCCAGAGCTAAAATCCAATTGAAACATTGTGAATTTCCTATTTCCAGTGCTGAAATTCAAACTAGGAAACTAGTGAGACGTAAAATTTCTATTCCCGGCGTTTCTAATGCCAAATACTGAACTAGAGAAAACTAGAACTTTATGTTTGACCAATCAAGAAGTAAACTTGGGCAAAAGCTATGGTCAAAAAGCTTGTTTGACTTTTCAAAAGCGTGTTTGACTTTTCAAAAGCTAAAATCCAACTGAAACATTGTGATTATATCTTTTTCTCTTTCCTCTTTCTGAAAGTTATTCCTTTATTTTATCACTGATATCATATATCATCTACTGCGGACGAATCTATTTAACAAGGAGACAAAGATGTATATACTTTAACATAGAAAGTAATCAGAGCTCACTTGAAAAGTAAGTTGTAAATTTACCAAGTAACTATGAGAAATGAAATAAAAACATTATTACTTATAACTTTTAGTGCAATTTGTTTAAATTCAAATGACAGATAAGAATTTATTCTGCATTTCGTGCAAATTTGCCGTGCATTTGAATAGAAACAGTTTAAAGAGTCGTTAGCCCAAATTAATGCTGCTCATTAACCTTGAGCCACATTCACTAATTGCCAAATACTACTACTAGTAAGAAAATCACACATTGTAAATAATATTTTCGTTAGATTGGGTAGGTAATTCAAGGATTTGATATTATTATTTATGTCATTAGAAGCTTGTCAGCATCATAATTTATGTGTTTATGGTTTGCTATGCATAAAATCAACAATCCCGATCATACAAAATCAATTTCAAACGTTTCTAATTAATTTAATATTGGAAGCCCCCCCTGGAGCAAAAATTTCAATTTTGAATTGTGAATACTTTTACGGCTGACCCACAAAACAAAAAAATACGACGACAACATTTTCACAATTTTTATTGAAATTTGAATACCTACTCGTATCATTTCAGAAATTTTATTTTGTTTTTATGTAAGCGGTTTGCGTAATATAATTATTGTTCAAAAACGAGAGGACCGAATGCGTTATGTAAAAGGCCGCATTGATCGGTTTCACTCTTTGAATTATTGACATTTTATTTTTGGGATAATTAATCAAGGATTTAAAATGCAGGAAGCTGTTCAGGTTCTTATGACCTTCCATGGAACCACAAAGTTTAAGATACGTCTTTTACGAGCAATAAAAGTAATTTGAAGCCTCTCCCAATGAGATTTCGGAATCTTAGTCTGTAAAGATTTTAGCAATAAATTTTCAGTTTGAGTTAGAATGGAATATTAATAGGCTAATACCTATAAATTCAACTCAGGGGTTATTATTTGGTACATGTTGTTTTTAAAAAAATTGAATTGAGATTGTGGAAAAAGCAAAAATTCTATGAAGTTTTAATGTTCAACCCTTGTTTAGTTGTAATGAAGACTTCTTCATCAAGCATGTCTTATTCTAAGGGTAGTTAGCAACCCACAAAATTTCTAATAGATTTTGGATTAGTTTTTGTTCACTTACTCCTTTAGAAGTTCCATCGTAGTCAGTACGCAAGTATCCACACTGGGTTAACCACCGAGCAGATAGCACCCCGTCATTTGAACACGCGCGTCTTCGTATACCGGGCGAACCGAAAAGCAAGCAACCGATTTTTTCGTGAAACCGTACATTCAAAATGGTTTTGGAACCCATCTCAGTTGCGGACTGAACTACCCAATGTTTCTATAGAAAGCACCAAACGCCGTTGGTTTCGGATAGGAGCCCCCTTCTTGCGTCCCTCTCTCTCCTTTGCACAGCTCCTAGGCTGGAGAGTTTTTTCGCTTGATGAGCACCAAGTCCGGTCGTACCGGGTACCTAGTTCTTTTGGTACGAGCTCGCAGGTATCGAAAGTAAAAAATGACAAATATTTGTATGCTTGGCGCGAGTCAGACAAATATATTAAAATTCGATTTGGTTGACAAACGTCTGAGGGTGGAAGTATATGAGGTATTTTGGTTTTCTAATCGAACGGAGCTCCAAAAAATATAACAGAGAGTTTCTTTGGTATTTCTTTGTAGTTTAATATTATCACTGTTGTACTTTTTTGGTATTTTGTATAATTATCCATCACATAGTAAATGCACAGCCGTGTTTGTAGACCAATCTGAAACAGAACAAAATACAAATAAATGAGTGAGAAAGGAAAAACGACACATGTAGGTACATAATAAAAACTACCTATAAGTACTCATCAAGAATAAGTATAAATAAAATTTAGTTCATAACAAAAGAGCATGTTTTGTAGATGTTTTTTTCATAACAATTTGAAAATAACAATAGTTTATAGTTCACAACTTACTTATTTACAGTATTTATTTCACCAGGAAGGACATAATATGGCCACATATGCCTTTACATTATTTCCTAGAAATTAAAATTCTGAGCCAAATTTAAATTGGTATTTTAAAATTTTTGCACGATTTGGGGATTTCTAGTAGACTAGGTATTTCAAGATTATACAGGATGTTCGGAATAACTTGAAGTACATGGGGATTTTGGAAACCATTGAAGATACAGGGTGGACCAAATGGGGAAAAAGTTGCGCAATCAAGTGCCTACAAATAATCTGTCACTGACATCAATCAATGTATATTGTTGAAAACATGTTCGAAGAACCTGAGTAGCTACCTGGTTTTATCCAATGATATTTAGAAAGATTATGAATAAATTCCTGCTGCGCTCTGATCTATGAAATACATGTAATTCTAAATAAAAAGATTTTAATAAGGTTTAGTGTGGCTAAGAAAAAATCAATTGACAGCTAAATCTTGGTAATAAATTTACAGGGCGCATAAAAGATCCTTTATAAGAATCTATGAGGAAATATGTCCATCTCAAAAGTTTTTCATTTATGCACGAGTCACGTCCATACGATACAAACTCGATGATTTCAAATGAAAGTAAAATGTTTACGGTCTGCCAACAAAAACTTTTAATTTTACCTTAATAATTGCGAAGATTCCGAGTTTGTTTGTCTTTTCCTATACAGCAAATGCTTTCAGGCGTGTTTGCATCAAATTTATAATCGTTTGAGTTGCCTATCACTTTCTCGTTTTTACGCACCCCTGACGTCAAAATTACTACTTGATAATTAGTTATTTGAACTGTTTCTGCTATTAATAATAAATATGAATTTATATAGAGCTTGTAGAATTTTGTAAAAAGTTTTACTTCCTTAGACCAATGAGCTCAACTACTAGAAATTGATTTCGCTTATACCTACAGAGAGAGGTCAATAATAATTTTTTTGAAATTGGGTTTTTAGATGGTTAATATATACTAGAAACAGAATTGGACCCAGTATCGAACCTTGGGGTACACCACATCCAACCGCTCTTTTTTCCGACATCCCAGCGCAACTCTTTGCTATCCTGCAACCCTTGTTTGTTGGGGTTACTAATGTCATTAATCTGTTATACCAAAATTATTTGATAAACTGGTTTGTGATCAGTTAACATTTGCGTATAAAGGTCTGATTAATGAAGCACATCAAAGGTTTATTAAAGGAAAGTCCACAGTAACAAACTGGAGTTCCACAAGGTGGTCACTGCTTACCTCTGCTTTTTAACCTATTTGTTAATGTTAATGATATAGTAACATGTTTTAAATATAGTACATCTTTATTGTTTGCTGATGATTTAAAATTACATAAAGTTGCGAGGGGTGGTTAACTCCCTTAAAATATGTACACAGATTTTAAATCTTCATTGTTTTTGTAGGATTTCGAGGATTTTGAAAATCTTCACATGATTTTACAGGATTTTAAAAGATTTTAGGTGATTTTGGAGAAAAGTTAGAAAGGTTTTTAGAGATCCTAAAGGATTTTCAGAGATTTTAATGAATTTTTGGGGATTCCTAAGGAGTTTTGGAAATGTCAAAGGAATTTTTTTATTAGGAATTTTATAAGATGTTACCGGATTTTTTTTGTGTTTGAGATTTTGTTAGATTTTTAAAGATTTTAAAGATTTTCAAGGATTTTAAATAGATCTTACGAGTTTTTCTGGGATTTAGACCAACTTGTATACAAATTTTGATCAATTATAACCGCTCGAAGTTTAGTTAACTCCATATAAAATGTGTATGTACATATATTTTAAATCTTTATTGATTTTGTAGGATTTTGAAGTTTTGAAAATCTTTACACGATTTTACAGGAGTTCAGAAGATTTTAGATTTTCAAAATTTTAGGTGATTCTGGAGCATTTTAGGGATTTTTGAAAAGTTTTTAGAAATCCCAAATTCAAATGACTTTGAACGAAGAAACGGAAATTCCTAGACCTTTTATTATAGGATTTCATAATACTTTTCCGAATTTCATCATATTGTTCTATGAAATTCCACCATAAAATTCACAGGAATTCTTGGACAAAAATTCCTCCGAATTACACTATTAGATTTCATAAAATTCTTCAGAATGCCACTAATATTTCAAATTATTCCATGGGAATTCTGCGAAATTTTTTGTTAGTTAGTTGTTCCATAGAAATTCCTTAGAATTTCACTAGAACATTTTATGAAATTCCTCGAAATTCCATTCAAATGACGAATTTGAATAGAAAAACGGAAAGTCCTAGAAATTTTAGGTACTATAAGATTTCATAATACTTTTCCGAATTTCACCATAAGATTCCATGGAATTCAACCATAAAATTCAATGGAATTCTTGTACAAAAATGCCTCGGAATTACAGTATAAGATTTCATGAAATATCTCCGAGTTCCACTAAAATTCCATGTAATTCGACAGAAATTACTCAGAATTTCACTAAAATTTAATTGAATTCTTCGGAAATCTGCCGAAATTTCTCGTGATTCCATGGAAAATCCACGGAAAATCTGTTTAATTCCAAGAAAATTCTTCGGATTCCATATAATTCCACTGGAATTCCACAATAAGATTTCAAGGAATTCCATGTAATTCGACAAGAATTCCTTGGAATTTTACTCGAAATTTCATCGAAATTTTATGTAAGTCGACTGAAAGTGAAATTATATACAGGGTGTCCCACTAAGGTCGGCCAGGTACGATATTATGGAAACCATATAGACCTTACGGCTTCGGGATTTTTTTTTCTTCACTAAATCAGCCAAGAGAAATTGATTGAAATTATTTTCAAGTTTCTGAGATGACCGCTAGGGGGCGCAATTACGATGATATAGCTGTAGATATAGCTAAAAATTCAAATTTTCTCAAGAAATCGCTATATTAAAGTACTGTTTTAACACCAGAAATCAAAAGTTCATTAATTTTTACGCCAGTTTGGTTATTAGGCTTTTTTCGTATCTTCCCTAAGAAGGGTGGGGAAAGCTCGTGAAAAAATAGTTTTAGAACTTGCTGTATCTTCTATACCCCTCATTCAAACTCATTCAATTTGGGCTTATTTGGAAGAGAATTTCAATGTTATTAACTTTTCTAAAATTCCCCAAAACTTCACTACTGAAATATCCTGGAATTCCACAAAATTGTCATAAAATTCTTCGGAATTTCACCGACATTTCACGTAATGTAATATAATGTAACTAAAATTTTATGAGAATATTTTGAAATTTCTCGAAATTCCAATAACACTTCAATTTTTTTTTCGAAATTTCATTAATCTCCATAAGAATTTTTCGGAATTTCACTGAAATTCTGGGAATATTAATGAAACTTCAAGTTATTTCTTGAAAATTCACAGAAATTCCTCCGAAATATATTGAAATTTCATGTCATTACATGGGAATTTTTCCAAATTTCACCGAAATTTCAAATTTTGGACCGGGAATTCCTCGGAATTCCACTTGTGAAATTTTCTGTAATTTTACTAAAATTCAGTTAATTATTTGATGGGAATTTTTCAGAATTTCACTAAAATTCCATGTTTTTAACTGGGAATTCCTCGGAATAAAAATAAAACTTCATGTCATGAGATTTTCTGGGAGTTTGACCAACTTGTACACAAATTTTGACCAGTTAACCGCCCCTCCTAAAGTTGTATCTAATGTATGTGATCAAAAATTGTTACGGGAAGACCTAAATAGTCTATATTTGAGTAGTGTGTTATAAATAAGTTGAAACTCAATGTTAACAAATGCTTTCATATAAGTTTTTATCGAATAAAAAGCCAACTTGATTTTATATGTACTCTATCAATAATCTGCCAATAAAATATCTGTAAAGTAACTGATCTGGGGATAGTTATAGTATTTGATGAGAGTTTAAGGTTTATGGAACATATTAATAATGCAATAATTGTAGATTCATCTAAAATGTTGGGTTGTGTTTCAAAGGAGCTGTTAATTCTTTAATGTAGACTCACTTGAATGTGTGTTTACTATATAGTATAGTTATTGCTCTCAACTCGAATATGGATGGATCAATTGTTGTATGGCCGCCATGTTACTCTTGGAGAGAGCTCAAAATAGATTTCTCAGATACTGTTCAGTAAGAGTGAATATGAATATAGTTGATCACAATTACAATGAAGTAAGAACTATATTAGATATGAAGTTATTAGAACATATATAGACAGATCATGTCCAGAATTATTGCAACTAAATCATTTCCATATACTATCAAGGAGGTTATGTTACAATTATGTATCCGTTTTGCATAAGTTATCATAGAACAAACTTTGGCCTACACAATAACATGGAAACATTACGCACAGTCCTTAGTCCTTATATTTTCTATTATAGATGGCAAGAAATTTCAGCTCATTTGGACTTATACCTAGTTCCAGAAATAAAATCGCATTAAGCAATTTGGGGTAAATTTAATTTTTCAATTTTCTGAGTGCCTTTTTTCATAGATTGCGGCTTCAAATCTCGGAATGAATAATTTAGTGTATGGAGTTTAGGGGGTCCCCAATGCCAATGATCATTTAGATACAAATCTCAACATAAAAACATTTGAAATTTCATCATTTTAGTACTAAATAGCTACCTTAGGTGATTTAGATTTTTAAAAACTTTGAAGACCCATAACTTTTTTTCTATTAAGTATAGATAGAAAGATGAAATTTTCAGCGATTCTTATCCCAGTGGAGGACTACAATCCCTGAAATTATCCAGTTTTCAATTTTCTGAGTGCCTATTTTCATAGATTTCAGCTTCAAATCTCAGA